CTATTTACCTTACTATTAACATTTTCACTAGTAGATTTAACGTAGCATTTTCATTTTTTGTATTTGCGTTTGGAATTTTTATCATTTTTTCCAAGCCAAACCATATTTTTCAGAGCATTTATCTATGTATGCAACAATTTATCTACAAGATAAATTGTTGCATACATCTTGTACAGCTTGGATCGCTTTTTGCAAATTTTCTATGCTATATTGAACTTTTAGAGTCTTTGGCATACTGAAAATGAAACATTAAAAGCCATTTCAATATTTATGCCTGTAAATTGCAAAACAAGTATAGCAATGAGCAACTTAAACACTGCTACTGCATAGTGGCAACACTCTAATCATAAATTGCTATGGGCAATAACTATACATTAACATAAGGCAATAACTGAAATGATGGTGGGCAATAACTAAAAATATACAGATTTACGTGCAGTGATTACCCACCGTTAAAATGACCGTTAGAAATCAAATTTTGTCAGTTATTTTCATTGATAATGGAGATAACACTTATAATTTCATCATGACTATACACCATTAGTTGAATATTATATAACTTGCAAAAAAAATTTAACCTCGCAAGTAATTCCTTAGTAAAATTGTTAAAGTCTTTACCTGTTTGAGTAACATTTTCACCCGTCTTGACAAAATCCGCCATAACTGTTTTTTTTTAGTGTTCCTATTGTAAATTTTAAATCTACTGTACATTGATCTCGGAGCCATCTACTTAGTAATTTCAAATCTAACTAGAGTGATTCAAAGTCAGCACCTGACAATATTATTCTTAAAGCGGGCAATCACTACCAGTGGGCAATCACTCTCTGGTTTACCCTACTTCTATTATTGTTTGGCTGGCATACATTTAGTATGGAGGCTAAAAACATTAAATTTTCGGATAGATCCAGTTAATTCTGTAACCTAATATTGGTACCATTGGATAGAGCTTGTGAAGTACTTTCAGGATTAGTAATCAGTTTTTCGATATCTTGTATAGTTTAGAAATAATCGAATGAGATCACTTATCGTTTCCACCCTGTATACTTAATCATTGATCATTTCTAAAAGTAACCCACTTAAAATACCTAGCTACTCAATATTTTGTACCTACATTGCTTCTATTCTAGTTTACACATTTAATACAATTTACATTATTTGGCATGACAAATATTATACACGTAAAAATACCTATTCACACTTACGGGTCAGTATTTTTCTACGTTATAGAGAGTGAACGTTTAATAGCGACATGGTAGAAAACAAATTAAATCAGCAAAGTCAAGAAATTTAGACGTTATTAGGAATTTATCGTTAAATCAATAAGGTTTCAAAGAGTTTCTCAGTATTTTAAACAGGCTGTCAGTTGTAATGAAAACCATTTAATATTCGAATGTGGTGAAAAATAAACATTTGAAGTGAGTGATTCGTGCAATCACAGTGAATGACGCCGGTCACCACTGACCCTCGCGACTGCCGCTATTTTTCATCCAACCCTGGACCCGTCGATCAATCTTCACTTGGAAAGTAACAGTCCCATAAGTAGGTTACTATGGACAATATTCAGAGCAGTAAGTTGCGCAATCAATTGCAGTCTTCAAATGTAATTTAAAGAAGTTTATTTTCACTGAGCAAATATCCGGTGTTTGAGTAGCTTTCTTTAAACTAATGTAAGTATTATTATTCTTTTTTTTTTGTTTTTGTCTATTTGCCTCACACACACTCCCATAAATAAGTACACTCATCACACACACCTCGCCTCATCGAAGAGAGTACAATATGCCAGAAAAATCTAGGTATTTAAGCAATAAAGAATAGATTTTATTTTATTTTATATTTTATAAGTTACAAGTTATAAATTATAAGTGTTATAGTGTAAGGGTTTATATAATGTTTATGTAAAATGCCAATGTTTATTGCGTCCCTGGTTGACGCTCTTTTCAAGATGGTTCCTACAGAATACCAGCATTCATGTTCTGAATGGAACATGATACAAGCTGAGTAGGAGCCATTTTGGTTCAATAAATTATGTATGTAATTTAAATTGTGTAAAACGTCTGTTTGAACCAAATAAACCATTTTTCTTTCTTTCTTTCTTTCAATGTATACCTACAGTTTAGGATTGTAAGAACTAAGAAGCTTTATGCTAACTTTAATTAAAAGTTAAAAATTAATATACATAAGCGATGTACCAGAGACATTAGGTGTACTTCTTTGTCGTCATCATTTCATCCAATTGAGTCTGTTGAATAAAAATATGGCTTCACCTGCTAACTGCTGGAAAATTTCTTGGTAGCTGGTAACACAATAATATTTTTTCTTTCTTTCTGACTGATTTTAAGGTAAGTGATAGAAAAAGTGAATTCCGTAACAAGTGGGTTAAAAAAAATACAATCTTCCACCTTTCCCAAGGCTAAGGTTACAAAATGCCTATTAGCAAAATATCCAGGACTAAATCCCAGAGCAAAAACTTTTCCACTCAGCTATTTTATGGCAAGCTCATGCAATGCTTTTTCAAAATCACAGCTAGTACTCAGATCAACTCCGAAAGCTCACAAAGTTTAAGTAACTGCTTCTCGTTATTTTCCTGCATCGAACATACATCAAGAAACGCTTAGCATACGTAAAATTGAATGCATTAGTTTTCGAAGATTCCCAAACTACTTATGTAACTGAGCAATGCAATGTTCGCTCAAAGCACTTTGGCCTTGCTGGAAGTATGCACATGCGCCCAAAGTGCAGCGAACTTCGTTCCGGCAACTGCCATTAATATCGCCAACTATTCGAAGAATGCGGGAATTAAAACAGTTTACCTCTGTAATGTCATTCGGAGATTCGTGCCAATTGCTAACTGCCTAAAGTCTACAGTAAGCACTATAGACTACACTAGTATATTGAGGTGAAATATCTCGTGCCGTCACTTCTAAGTAAAAAATCTACATAAGCGTGACGTCACGCGCCATTTCAATTGGATGTAGCACTGTTATTATTTGAGTAAGAAAAAAAAAGAAAAAATAAGTATCCAATATTTTTTTATTATCTGTCTGACGGACAAATAATAAAAATTTTGTCATCTTCTTACTTTTGTCTTTTTACAATATCAATCTAGACATCTAGATCTCCAATTTTTAAACACGAAAAGTCGACTTGTTACAATGTTTCAATTCCAAAGTACCAAAATATAATTACAAAACTTCGTAATCCATAGACCGTACAACAGTTTTTCATTAGTAGTTGGACAGCTTAAAGTTTTGACAAAATATAGCCCGGCTCTCCGGAGTTTAAGCTAATTTGGGACTAAATGATTTATTAATCCCAACTTCTAAGAACGGACACTGGTTTGAGTTATGTTTTATGATTATTTGCAAATAAGTAGGACAAAGTATGACAAGACGTTATAAAGTTATGCACATTAATTTTATTCCCAACTTCGTAGCAGTGTACATTTTAACATGCAATTAATTTGAAATCTAAATCCAACCCAAAAAACTGTACGATTCTTTTCTTGTAATATTCAGTGATTTCATTTGAAAACCAATAATTATGCCATCTGTCACCAAAGTAGGTTAACAATTGTTTAAACATACGATAGGTATTAATTTTAACTAAATACATAGGTATGCTGTGTATTAGAATAAATAGTAATTTTGGACTTACTTAAAACTTAAAATAAATGGAAATACAAGAAAGAGACATTATGTTCTTAATATTACCACAGAATAATAATAAGTACTACGTACAGAAGTTTTATTTCGCGAAGGTATTTAAAAATATGTATGCTCAATGTCATTAACAATATGGTGTAATTTAGCCTGTCTCAAGAGTCAAGCACCATTTTGTTGACAAACATCAGTGATCGGCACTGCGCCGAAGCTATAGGGCTGACTTCGGTAAAATGATGTGACGTGAGGTGCCAAACTGCGGAAAATGGCGGAGGAAATACATGATTTAGCATGAATTATATTAACTACTTATTTACCTCTCAGTGTCTTGAGGCAACTTAAAAAAGTACATTCTGTGTTTCTATTATTATTTAGGCAGTTAAATAGGTACTGCACAGTATTTAGTACACCATTTTCTTTATTTTCTTCCATCATACACAAGAATACGCGTGCGTGAGTCAATGTTCGCTCGTATGTGAGGCCTTGTCGAATAGTATCCTGTAGGTGGGCCATCGCGCGTGTTTTGTTTTCGATGTAAACTCGCGGAGATGAACAGGCCTGATATTACTTTCATTTTAATTCACTGAAATTCACTGTTTTTGTGTAAAGCAAACCCACTGTAATAATTTCTATTATTATTGCCATTAAGTGTTAAATTCCTTACTTAAACACAGCGTGAAATTACAAGAGTTGGTAATTAAGACGACGTAATAAGTAGCATATCTTCCCACTAATCGTTTTAAATAAGGAGCAAGTTAGCGCGAGTGGTTTTCACATTATACGCTAAGGAACGTTCTCTTGCCATTATAATAAATCTAACTTACCAAAAGGGATTAGAATAATATTATATGGTGGTACTGAAATATCGCAAATTCTATCTTATATCAAAAGTTCGAGTAACTTCCTTTGCGTCACATAGTCAGGCCAAAAGCGAGCGAATCCTTTCTATCATATCCTACTTCCTACTAAGTGGGTGTGCAGTATTTTGGACAAAGCTAATATTTTATATCATTTCATTGTGCATTGTTAACAACATACTTTTTAGACATATCGACACAGACAACATACTCGTAGGCTGGTAGGATTGAGGATGATATTGATTGAATACTTATCGCTGAAAGTGCCCAACTAAACTGAAGAAACTAAAATAAGGTTTTTATCATTGGTGATTTGCCGATTCATTTGCATGTTATGTAGTCTTGCGCATTGACACTCAGTCATACTAATGTATATTGGGTAGCTTGAAATAAAGAAGGCTAATGACTAGGACAACTTACTATTTTACAGTTTTTGAGAGGACACAATGTGTACGGAAATTCATATTACAATATTTTGTTTCAGAATATATCAATACTGGTGGTCCTGTTGTATAGTTGGAGGATCGGCGTCAACGCAAAGAGGTTTAAGGAGTTGGATGATGTTTACTATGGTGAGTTGCACATCTATTTGTACCATAGAAAATGTAGAGAGAGAGCACGTCTAGCTAAACACTGTGAGTTCTTATGAAGTTGTCATAAGTGTTATTTTGCAACGAAAATAAATAGTCTTATACTGTTGTCCGTACTTTAAATATTTACATATTTTCTAGAAGAATTAAGCAATATTTTAAAATTTATTTGGGCATGCAAACATACAGGGGTTATGAGCGTTGAGTGTGTTTACACTGTTTGTTTGGATGTGTTGTTTACTTCGAGAGCCAACTGCTTTTGATAAGGTTGAAATTAAACTAAATTTCTCTGTGGCTCAAATAATTCTAATAATAATAATTCAATATATCGAACAAATAGCCTCTTCTAAGTTTAATAAAACTTTTTACAAATCAATTCAAAATGGTAGATAATCGCATATTACGTCATATTTTCTCAAAGAACCTTGTTTTAATCGTAATTTCCTTTTACCCTCTAATACAAAGAGTATTTTTTGTTTTTTACTGTTTTGAATCCTCAATTCGGCACCCCTATTAGTGTTGCCAAACTCCCCAAATTATTTCGCGCATGAGTTCGATGCGTCGCCAAATCGGGAGTTTTCGTTGGTAGAAACACCAACTTTTGCTTCTCCACCAAGTAAGCTGCTTACTTATGCAACCCGAGTGTTTCGGAACTTTAGGGGATCTAACGAAACTTAATTGGTGCCGAAGTCACAGCAGGGCACGTTAATTGGTATCAATTAAATTGGTATGTGCTTACAATTACCTACTTACACAGGATCTGCCAGTATACTTTAACCCCCTTACTAATAAAACTTACACGCTCTTCGAACAGTGTTTAAAGTGACGTTGAGCATTTTAAAACAATGTTGAACAAGTGTGTAACTTTTCGTTGGTAAGGGAATAACTATTTTTATAGTACCTAGCAGTGATGTATACTAATCTGCAACACTAATATTGTTCTACTACAAGAAGTAAGTATTTCGGTACTCGTTCTGAATTTCAAATAAAAATACATTTTTGCTAACATTTCTCAGAACGTTTGTAAGCCGTGATTTTTGATAAATTGTAACAATGGGTTAAAACTTGTACGATGATAGCACGGAAACCTTCGCGTGCCTCGCATTTGCTTTATGATTTACATAACGCACTAATATCATTTTTAATAAATCAGATACCTACCTATTATTCAGAAAATATTAAGACTGGCACTTACCACATTTTACTTCAATCCCTAGTAGACTTACATTTATCAATAAGACTTGTTGATTTAAAAGTTTGATAAACGACCGCTCCGTTCAACAGTGAATGAGAATTTTCCAACATTTCCAAACAAAAGTGGCGTAAATCAAATTCGCTTCTAATTGAAGTGCCGCAACATTTTTCGCAGCCGGCAAATTTAGTTCTTTGCTGCCATCCATCACACGCAATCCGCAATAATTGGAGGCTGGCGTTATAAAAATGTAAGCGCCATTGTTGCCCGCTGAAAGGAGCCGGCGGTTGAAGCAAATGAGATAATAATATGCAATTAGGGAGTTGGAGCTTCCTCGAATGTCACGTGTTTTTTCTTTGCTTAAAATTACGTCAACATAATTCTATGTTACGTGGGACGAAGAACGTTCCTTTATATTTCCAACTAGCTTCAACGCACGGCTTCACCCATGTGAATTTCGATGTGTCCCGGATGGATCACAATTTCAAGGGTTAGATTTCTACCTCGCAGCTTAGTTGTCGTCTTTCGTAAAGAAAAAAGCTGTTATTTAGAGCGAAAAACAGACACAGACTGAAAAACAACGTTATTAATACTAATGACAAAATACGAGTATAAAAACTTGCCATCAAGAATCCCTCAAGCTGTATACGGCTGGGTTTTTCAACAAAAGCCTCTTACAACAATTTCCAAAGTATTGTTTCATACACATATTTTGACCGGGATGCTAAAGGACGTAATTGTAGAGCCGCTTATGAAAAAAATTCAAAAGGCCAAAATTTATCATGCTACCAAGCGAGGCAGCAAAATATGTTACATATCTCAATTAGAACGGAAAGCACAAGTCATAATAAACGTCATTTTCTTTTTCAAAATAAAAGCTGTTTTATAAACTTTGTTAGCAGACACATGTGTAGTTTCTAGTAGGGACCTATGTGCTTAGTAGGAATTAAGTAATTTTACATTTTAGTAAATAAACAAACAAGTCACCTAACTACTAAGGCTGGGTTGCACCATCTTACTTTAACTTTGATAAACATCAAAAATCTGTCAAACTCCATACTAAAATTATCGGTTATTGTTAAAGTTACGGTGAAAGTGAGCTGGTGCAACTCAGCCAGTCAGTTAATTTTTTCTTTTTCTTTCTCAGATGTTCTGGCTGCACTATTACTTGGGCTATAATCGCCCCATTTCACGGACACAAAAAAAAAACAATTTGTAAGATAAAAACGCACCCAAAAGGTACCCGGAACAGGCAATTACCAAGTAATGATTCGCATGAAAAGTCCATTCTTTTGTAACGAGATCATTACGAAGAGTATTTATTTATACATTTTAACTCAATGAAAATCTTGCTCATCTGTTTTCACGGAGTTCTTATGAACAAATTACGGAACCATAGATCCATCAAAAAATGTCTCGAAACAACAGAAGATAGGTACTTACTTCAAAGTTAAAATCTTCAGAGAAACATTTTATGAACATTCTCAATAGATTTTTGTTTTGTTTTTGTGCGAGAACAGGAATACCGTTTTAAGAGCAGACACCAATTGTACGTTTTAGCAGCTTGAAATTCTACTTAAGAGTCAAAACCCACCACGAACGTTATTTTATAAAAGAGGACGAGAAGCCGGCCACCCATCTTAAATTCAAAACAGCTTCCGAAACTCGCTGCAGTGAAATAAGTCACCTTTCGTACAGGAAAAGCTGCAATTTTCCTGCCTGCCGTGCTTGAGTGAAAATACAACATGACACGATGTACCTACATATTATTGTGTTGCACCGATTTATGTTTAATTTGCAGTGTAGTGTAGATGTCACCGGAAAATAACAAGAACCGCAAATTTATTAATTTCCTTGGAAATTCATAAACTTTCGTAGGAGAAAACGCTAGATAAATTGTATTATATTTTTACGCCCACATTTTGGCAAATTTATAAACTTACCAAACTCACGCGTAAAATAATAAGTAAACAATAACATAAACGCCATGTGCGCTCTGATTGGTTGTATAAGTCACGTGTTCCTTCTCCTTCCTAATATAATACTAATATTCCCGTGTTCTACAAACCAGATTACCTAAATATAAAATATGGGTCACCACCACAATCCAGTGAAGAGAAAATTGAACTAGTGTCCCTCTCAAACCGGTACCTAGAGCATGAAAACTAAGTATGGAAATTACGCTCACAGCCCGAAAACGCCCATGAACGAAGAAATAGCCTACAACGCATCGTGTTCATTGTAAAACATCCACATCTTGAAATACGTGCTATAGCCGCTTATGAGAACAACCATGATGCGTTGTGGCAATGAGAAAAACCATGACGCGTTCTGAGCACTAATAACTTACCGGCAGAATTGCCAAGTCTTCCGTCTCTTTTTAATCTTACATCGTAATGACTTTAATAAAAAAACATTAATTAATCATGCTTAATCTTAAATGTAACTCACTTAAGCTCTACTCATTTATCAGTCAATGAACTGTATGGTGGCCCAGGTGTGCTAAAAACGGCGGTAAATTTCGTCAATATCGTCTTAATCTGAAAGATACTAAGTAAATGTGCGCGTCTTGTTAAAAAGTATTACCTCACAACACAATGACGTTTATAGGCCACATTTGTCTCCCGCCCCAGACTCCGTATCACCCGCGTGTCACGACGTGATCTATTGTATTTGGGCCGTTATTTATCTATCTTATTACGATACGGATGGCAGTAATTTCCGTCACCTGTGCGAAAAGCTGGCGGCGGTATTTTAACGCTATATTATAACGGTATTCAACCTTTCACCCTTGTAAGGTCTACCTGCAAAGCTTGAAAGGTTCTGAAGAACTGTGTCGTGTGTGTGTGTCGGTATTTCTATTTTTCAGGTTGAACATGTACACTGTGTTGATTTTATTATTATTTTTAATAATCTAAATATATAAAAGGAGAAACTGACTGACTGACTGACAGATCAACGCACAGCCTAAACGGCTAAACGTAGGCACTTGAAATTTGGAAGGAACGTAGCTTAGGTACCGTAGAGGTGCACTAAGAAAGGAATTCCCGAAATTCCCACGGGAACGGGAGTTAGCGGGAAAAAACATTTGTATGAAAAAATCTAAACCGCGTAAGATAGATGAAGGGGGTGAAACGGGATCCACGCGTACGAAGTCGCGGGCTGCCGCTAGTAATCTTTAAACTCACTACTTTACATCGAAAGAAAGAGAGAGAATTACTTATAATTAAAAGTAATTACAAGTACATTACTACCTATTCTTGTGTACACATGCAATGTAAAGATTTAGAGTAAATTAAAAATAACAATTTATTACACTTTGCATATGGGCTAAACAAAAATCATTATGATTCCGTCCGGTTTATAAAAGGTGCAATATTATTTATCACTAAATAGCATTCTGAACAATAACCAACTAGGTACATTTTAATCTTAGTTTAGCGTAGCGAACTTCATAAATATTAATACTCACTTTAGTTATGATATTGAAGAATAATAATCCAGGCAAGATGTCGTTACAAGTTATTAGATGTCAACCGCAAGCCTTGGCGTGTACTCGTTAGTCAAACGCAGGTAACATTATGTAACTTGATACGTAAATCCATGACAAAGACAATTTTCCGACTTATCCGACTACACAGGTTGTAAGGAACATTAACCTAATTGAATTCAGACGGTGATTTAAGAAACATACTCTACTGAAGTCAGACTTTTGAGATTCTGGATTGGCAAGTAGATTTTTTCACTGAATTACTACTTGGTTTAAGTTTATCAGATTTAGTCAATGAGA